ATATATATATATATATATATATATATATATATATAATTTTTATATACAAATTTATAAATACAAATGTATTTACACAAAATGGGGCGAAAATAGTATTGTAGGAGTTTGAACTCAACTTAATACCCTGGGTGGGATACCAAATTAAATCATGGTTATGTCTAAAAATTTAAACTAATGAGCTAAGGTAAATTTAATCTTTCCAATATAATTTTCTATCACATTGTTTGTGAATATTTTTTTCACTGACAAACATAATCAATTTGAGAATTACATTCTAACGTATATATAATTAAAAGTTTTATTTTCATAAAAAATTAATTTAAAATTTTAGAGAATGAGTAACAATAAATGGTTACCAATTATATATGGAAAGAAAATGCTATATAAGATTTTTTTTTTTTTAATAAAAAAGTAGAATGTAGGATGTGAAAAAAGGATGGCCAAGTAATGGTGGGTGAATAAAGGGTGAAAAGATTGCACTAAATATGCAAAATGTGGATGAAAACATGGCCACACCCCAAAAACAGGAATTTTGTCTCAAAAATCTAAATTGGTGGATCAAAAAAGAACAAAAATCATTGAATTCTAATGCGATTAGAACATGCCCTTTTTTCTTTTTTAATTTGCTTTTCTTGTGTCTTTTATCCTTTGTATTTTGATGCCTCAATCTATTAAATATTAATAATTGCATAAACTTTGGAAGCTTGCTTTTCATTCATTTTCACCTTGGAAGTTTTTTTTTCCTCTCTTTTTTGTCTTTTAAATTCTTTATCGAGATGGGGTAGGCTTGGCTCTCGACTAGATCTCACAAAATGGATCAAAATCCCTTTGAAAATCCCACGAGGATAGAAAGCCATTTTAAGATGAAGGAAAAGCCAAGGTATCAACAGACTAAACTCGAGACTAATCAACAAGTCAGAGGACCAATCATCAAAGAAGATCGACAAGCTCGATGACGATCATCAAAGAAGACCAACAAGCCAAAGACAATCATTATCAACAAAGAATTCAAGAGAAGAACCAAAGGATAAATATTAGATATTATTATATTCATTATACGAATATCAATAAAAATTATATTTTAAATTCCACGAAACAAATTTCTCCAGAAATCTCGTGTGAACAAATTCGTCTTAATCGTTAAGAAAAATAGATATATCACATTTACTAGTTTAAATTGATTTGGGTTTCTAAAATTATTAGGTTATTTTTATTTTGTTATTAGATTTTCAAAAGGTCTGTTTTAGGAACTAAGCTTTCAACAGTTATATTTTGTACCTTAAGCTTTTCAAAAATAATTATTTTAGATTTTTTATTTCATTTATCGTTAATTAACGTATTGAGCAGGCATGTATTTGAGCAACATAAATTGGTAGAAGCAAATATTCAGCGAGTATAAATTAAGAGGCAAAATAGTAGTAACGACCAAAATAATTGTTTTTATGGAAGTTTAGGGACTCAAAAGTAATTAACATTTTGCTAGTTCAAACATAAATGATGTTATTTTAACAATGTTGAAAGATTAAAATGTATATTTTGAACCAACATGAGCATAGTTTAATGATAATTGACATATATTCCTACTCTCGAAGTCGAAGATTCGATCTCCCATATTCTCAAATTGTTGTACTTAAAAAAGAGAAAAAAAAAGTATATTTTGAAAGTTTAAAGACCAAATAAAAATAAACGACATTCATGTATTATGATGGTTTCTCTTTTTTTTTTTTTTTTACTTAAAAAAGATTGGATTTCTTTTTAGCAAAACCATAATGGGATTAAACCCATATTTATTTTAATTTTTTGATACTAAACATATATCATATCTCCATATATCTTGTTATAAAATTAACCACTTGCCCATGTTATGGCCAACTTTTTGGTAAACATAATTAGCAACCACGCCTAATCTTAATTATAGTTCTAACTTGTTAAGGTAAATATCATCCGGTAAAAGGTCAATATCTACTTATTTAACTTCTAAACTGGATTTTGAAGTATCAATTTTTAAAAATTATCTTTTCATATTACATATGTATGTACCAAATAAAGTAAAAGAGATTTGAACCTTAGAGGGAAGATTTTAACTAACTATTTATATAATTTAAAAGAGAGAAGAAAAAATAATAATAAATGTCTATTTCAACTCGTACAAATTTAGTATGTGACAAGAAAATTTCTTAGTACTATATAGTAACAAATTTTATATACTATTATTTTTTTTTCTAACCACACAATCGAAATTTATTCTTAATTGATTTAAGCATAATTTAAATGGTTGTTATTTAGTTGCCTTATCTTTTAAGTCGCGGGTTCTATTTTCTCTCTTATTAAATGCAATATTTTTTTTGGATAAAATATATTTTTGGTGTTTGACGCGTGGACTTGATTTTTATTTGGTCTTAGTTAGAAAAACTATTATTTTTGGTCCATAAAATTTAAATTAGTCTCTACTTAGTTCTTAAAGTTTTGTTGTTGAAGTTTGAATTTAATTTCTAATTGGTTTCTAAAGTTTGAATTTTGTTTTTAATTGATCCCAGATTAAGTTAATAGTTAGCTGACTGTTAATTGTCACATCATCATTCTGCTAAGTCAGTTAATGGTTAACTCAACTTAGGGATCGATTAGAAACTAAACTCAAACTTCAGGACCAAATATATCATTATTAAAACTTAAGGACCAAATAAAAACTAAATTTAAATCTCAAGTATCAAGAGTGATGATTTTTTTAATTCAGGTACCAAATTGAAACCAAGTCCACGGACCAAAAATATATTTGAGGTTATTTTTTCTTAAGGAAATGGTAATTTATAACCGATTAAATAAAGTTGAAAAAAAATACACTTCTGATCTTGGATTTTGACTTTCAAGTTTCATTTTGGTACATGAAATTTTAGAAAAATTTTGACTTTTCTTATTGAAGAATTGATACTACTGAATATAAGTAAAAGTAGTAATGATAAATTTCCCTCACATGACTTGGTATTTTTCTCTTTAAATATTTTTTTAGTTTTTATATTTTAATCTCGACTTTAGTTGATTTTGATTTATAAACCTTTAAAATATTTACTTTGGTTCAAGTACTTTAAACTTTTGTTTTCGTATTTTTTAAATATCTACTTCAGCTCTTGTACTTTTAAAGAGTGACCAAGTTCGTCTTTATAATATAATAGGGACCAAAATGAACAGGGATAAAAGTAGACTATTTCGGTCCCTATTATAGAGACCAACTTATATTTTTCAATGTACAATATGCGTTTCGAAAGTAGAAGAATCCAAATGAATAAAATTTAAAAGGATAAAAAAATGTTTTAGCCCCTGTTTCCAAATGGAATGTTTTGGAAATAGGGAAAAAAAGAACAAAACGATAAAAAAAAAGTATTCAAACTTTTTTGCCCTTTTAAATTTCTACTACAAAATTCAAAAAATATGTTTTACATGGGACAAGATAGAAGATATATATATATATATATATATATATATATATATATTTATTT